AATAAACGGAAACTGCACGACTGTTTTCTGTCAAAGCTTTTGGGTGGGAAGTGTCTATATTAGTTACTTTTCTCATTACTGTGATAAAATATTTGAATAGAGCAAGAAAGTTATTATCAGATAGCTTTGTGTCATTAGCTATTACAATAAGCAAACACTGAGTTGAACTATGTAATTCAGTTGCAGAGAGGGAGGAGGCTGGAGAAACCCCCAGAAACAGCTGACCTAAACAAGGGGGAGCTCATGGACCCCAGCTGGGAAACCAGCATAGGCCTGTTCCCGACACCCTGTAGGAGGATGCCAGTTTGGAGGTCTGGTTAATCTATGGGGCCTCTGGTAGTGGATCAGTATTTATCCCTAGTTCATTAATGGACTTTGGGAGCCCATTCCACATAGAGAGATGCTCTCTCAGCCTAGACACACGGGGGAGGGTCTAGGCCCTGCCCCAAATGATGTGACATGCTTTGAAAATCCCCCATGGAAGGCCTCACCCTTTCAGGGGAGCAGAAAGGGGATGGGATAGAGGGTTGGATGGGGGGAGGTGGGGAGAGAGAGGGAACCGGGATAGCCATGTAAAACAAGCTAGTTTCTAATTTAAATAAAAAAAATAAAACAAATATTTTCTAGCTCAAGCCAATTCTGGGGGAAAAAAACCATGGGAAAAGGACCTGCAAACCAGGGAGGAGGCGACTGGGGTGGAAGGAATGAAATGGATACAAAACCTGACACTAGACACTGGCGCCGTGCCCTCTCTCTCACTTTGGAGAGCCACGGGCTTCCGCCTGGTACAGTGTGCCTGCTTCTGCTTCTAGTAAAGATTGGCTTGCTTGCCAGTTGATAGCAACCGTCAACTTGGTGAGCTCTAGAGTCACCTGGGAGATCTGCCTCTAGGCATGCCTCGGAGGGGTTATCTACATCAGGTTACAGAGTTAGGAAGACTCACCATTGTGTGTGCACACACACATTCATTACTCTCTTCTTCCAACTGCAGATGCAACGTGACCAGCTGCCTCTGCATTCCTGCTACAGTGGGTTGTACCCTTTCTTCTACTAGGTTTTCGGCACCCTGCCTCCATAATAAGTTTCTCTTCGGATGCAGTAAGCCAGATCAAGCCAAATTGAAAAAGTATACCAGGTATATTGAGCAAAGCAACTCCCAGGCAGGTTCTCCTTTCCCAGAGATGGAGGCCAGAGAAGTCGACCCCCATTCCTCGTCCCCGTCCCCAACTAAAGCAGGGAGATTTTATAGGTTTTAGGAGAGGGGTGATGACATGTCCACCACAAGCTGGGTTTGTTCTCACGTACGTATGGTCAAAAGCTGAGTGCTTAGGTGGGGACATGAGCAACTGGAAACTTCAGGGAAGGAAGCTGCAGTAGCCACCAAGAATGTGGAACTGAACTTTTTGTCACCTTTCCTTTGTCCAGAGACTCTCTGAGTAGGTTTTGGAGAGAGAGAGGCTGGAATGGGGCTTTCCAGGCCACGGAGGTGGGGTGGGAGAGGCGGAGGCTCCAGGAAAGTATCTTTTTTTTATCATGGGGGCATGCCATGCCACAGTTCATGCAAATGACGCCAGCTTATGAGAGCTGGGTCTCTACTCCCACATGGGTTCAGGGATGGAGTTCAGGTCATCAGAATTGACACTTTACTCTGAGCCATCTTGCTCCAAACGCTAATTCTATCCACTCTTCCTGATAGTTTTAATTATCCACCTAAACTATTCCGAGTTCCTCCAATCCTTTTCTCTGACAAACTGCTCCTTCCTAAAGCACTATAAGGCAGAGTTAGAAACAGAGAGCAGAGTTTGAAGGACAAGTCTCATATCTGAAAGTTAAGCTTTCTAGGAGCCCTGCTCTGGTGGCACAAGCCTTTAATCCCACAACTCTGCAGGCAGAGGCAGGATGATATCTGTGAATTTGAGGTCAGCCTGGTTTACATAGGGAATTCCAGGACAACCAGGGCTACACAGAGAGGGGGAAATGAAGAAGAAAAGGAGAAGAAGGAGAAGAAGAAGAAGAAGAGGAAGAAGAAGAGGAGGAGGAGGAGGAGGAAGAGGAAGAGGAAGAAGCTCTCTAATGCTTAAATAGAGACAATTAGATCACTAAGAGGACGAGGAGTTGATATCACATGACCCACATGAATGAGACTCTCGATTTTCTTTCTCTTTTCTCTGTATATTGTTATTTTTTGTTCACATGGGTAGTGACACATTTAAAACTCCTGTCACTAGCTACTGCACATAACGCCACTGGCCTATGGTATTCTTTACTCTGCCATCTAGTGGGCAACACTGACAACATCCCAAATGCACTTGGGTTCAGATCATACTATTGCCATCTCTCGTTAGCATGCTCATAGCCATCCCAGCGAGGGGACAGCAGATGCTAAACTGCCTCCATATTAGTTCTTGGTAGGTAAGGGCACGTCTCTGCCGTCGGTGACAGCCCATACTGAATCTGGGGAACTGACAACTGCATCCATAGGAGCACAGCCTGTGTGTTCACAATCAAACTCACCCTATTCTCTGGTTGTTTGATTTAGTTTGTTAGCCTTAACACTAAGTTCTCACGTAAAATGCATGGAGAAAGGTGGATCTGGTGCGATCTTCTTGGCTTTGTTCACATCTATTAAACGTCTGTGAACAAAGCTGGGCGTTGGTGGCGCGCACCTTTAATCCTAGCACTTGGGAGACAGAGGCAGGTGGATCTCTGTGAGTTCAAGGCCAGCCTGGTCTAAAAAGTATATTCCAGGACAGGTTCCAAAGCTATACAGAGACACCCTGTATCGGGAAAAAGAAAAGTCTGTGAACATACAACTCCCACGGAAATAACATTGGCCCAGTGTTTAGAGATTACGTTAGTTACTTTCCTGTGGCTGTGACAAAACAGCATAACCAAGGCAACTTAGAGAAGGAAGGGGCTATTTGAGCTTATGGTTCCAGAGGAGTAAGAGTCCAAGCAGCAGGCACAGTGGCAGGAACGGAATGCTGAGACCTCACATTTCGAACCACAGCATGGAGCAGAGAGGAAGATGCCGGGCACAGCACAAGGTTTGAACCTCAGGGGCTACCCCAGTGACATAACTCTTCCAGCAATGCTATATACTAGACCTCCCCCAAACAGCACCACCAACAGGAACAACAGTGAAAACACATAGAAGCCTATGGGGAAAACCTCATTTAAACCACCAGAGAGATGGCCATTACCTAAAGAACAGATAAAGTTGAATTTACAGATCAGCTGGGCAGTGGTGGGTCAGGAGGCGGAGGCAGGTGGATCTCTGAGTTCCAGGTCAGTCTGTCTCGGAAAAACAGAAAGAAAGAAAGAAAGAAAGAAAGAAAGAAAGAAAGAAAGAAAGAAAGAAAGGAAGGAAGGAAGGAAGGGAGGGAGGGAGGAAGAAGGAAGGGAGGAAGGAATAAAGAAAAAGAAGGAAGGAGGAAGGAAGGAAGGAAGAAAAAGAAAGGAAGGAAGGAAGGAAGAAAGAAAAAGAAAGGAAGAGAAAGCAGCAGCAGCAGCTACCTTCAACTGACAATCGCTAGCAAATAGATCCAGATCAATTTGACTGAGAACCACTCCTAAACTCCTTTTTGTGCATTATGGTAAAGTTATAAAGGTTTTTCACATTGACCCTCAGTCACCAGTCACTTCACCCCGACATGAAAACAGATTGAACCAGAACAGGTCCATCCTGCCCATGGGAGGCAGTCAAGCCTAACAAAGAAGCACACGGTTGATCACTGGTGTTTTCACAGAATGAGCTCCATCAATTCTGGGAATGTGGAAATGCTCAGAACCCAGCTAGAGTTACTTCTGTAAATTCTAACAAAGCAAAATGTATATTTGCACAAAATCACAAAGAAAGGATTCTCACACACAACAGCCTAATAATATCTATCCTAAGAGTCAGACAGAACTTTAAGGCCCCTGAAACCTCAGACAGGATAATTCCAGAATAAGCACTATTACTACCAATAGCATGCTGAGAACGTCTGTCCAGCAACTCTCCATTCAACTTTGGATTGATTCTCCCTGACCTCTGACCTTTGTTTTGCAATTAGCCTGTGTGGATAAGAATAATTGTTTCAAATGATCTCATATAGTTCTCCCCCATTTTCCCTAAAAACCTGGTCCTGCATGGAATATACACACACATGAATCCACATTTCAACCCTGCTTGGTTACCAAAGCAAACATTATGCATTGTAGACTCTCAGACATTTATTCATGTGGACTCTTGCTACTGTGTGATATCAGCATTCCTTTTCACTACTGCAAGAGAAAGGGGAGAAACTGCATTAGGGCATCATGGGTGAGCATGTTAAATATCAAAATGTGAACCATGGCATGGGGCAGGCCAGCTGTCAAGGAACTCACAGTCAAATTCCTGTGCATTCAGCCTTTCTAGAACTATGGTGATGGTGGGGATGGGCTCCTTGAATTTACCTTGAAATTTTCCACAACATTTCAACTTTTAAGGAGAATATTAAATACTCAGAGATCGCAGGGAATATTAAAGTATCCTATTTTAATGAAGCCTTCCAGAGAAAGGCAGGACACAGTGGCCAGCGTGAACTTGGGAGCAGGGGCTCCTACAGGACTTGGATGTGGTAGGAGTTTGACCCCACTGGGAGAGAACAGAAACTACCACCCAAATCAAAGCCAATTAGGCAAGTTTCATTTCAGATGCATAGGACTGACTCTCCAAAGTGGGATTTGAGAGTACATGCCTCCTTTTATGGGGAAAAAGTGTAAACGGGGGGGTTTTGTAACATAAAGATTTTGCAAGCTAATTTTACAGAAGCAGATGGCAGATTAGATTATTTGACAGGTCATCTTGGCAGAATATCTCAAGGTTCCTTGACAAAACACCCTATCTTATTAGGATAGAGTATGTGTGACCCACACTTGAATTTTGTAGCAAATAGAAACAACTTATTCTGACCTTATTGTTGTGCCATTCAGAGAGGACCCCAAGGCTTCAAGGAGCTTAACGACACTGAATGTAAGCACGAGAAGGTCTGTTTATTTCCAGAAAATCAGCTAGCTGGCGCTAAACTCTGTCAGGAGAGTTGAAGGCCTGAGCTGCAAAAGCAAGGCACTTTTAAGGAAAAAGTAGGGAAGGGGGAATCCCGAGGCTGTGTGTCCCAGTCCGGAGGGTTCCCATGGTTACAGAGATTACTTAGCATACCAGAGGTTATCAGAAAGAGAAGGCCTTGAGAAGAAGGAGGGAAAGCCCTGAGACTGCAAGTCTCATAGGGTTCCCATAGTTACAGAGATTACTTAGCACAGTAAGTCTATACATAGTTACAGCATAACGACATTTCATACAAAGTTATAAGATGAGGCCTTGAGAAGACAATGATGGCCTCTGGTTAGGCAGAACTAATTGGCACACCTGTGCTCTGGGATTCCATGGCCAGAGCACATCCTACGATTGTGGGCTAAGGGAGCAGCTGCCGATACTGTTGCAGCTGCTCGTGGGTCTCCGATTCTGATCACGTAACCACACCTAACCCTCCTCACTTAGTTGGGGGACTTTTTATTCTCTTTCGTTATTTTCCATCCACTTCCCTTAGTGGCCCAGAACACGTCACTTATAACAAAATTGCTTTTTACCTTAAGACAGAATCAAGCTGGTCCAACAATAGCTTTAAGAGACATTTACTATATTTATTACTAATTTGTGGTCTGAGGGACAGAACTCAGATCTTTGTACTTGTTAGGTAGGGTTCTACTGTTGATTCACACTCCAAGTCCTTGAATGTGATATTACTGATTAGATGCCCTATTCCTGTGTTTGAGATATATGGATATTTTTCTGGCCCTAAATTATAGGATATTGTAGACACACAGACACATAGGCAGACAGGTAATCCAGCAAATAATACACTTTAATGTCAGTGTGATGGGAGAAGTCCTTCTGTGTATATGTTTGATTGATTGATTGATTGATAAAATAAAGCACTGTTGGCCAAAAGGGAAGCATGACAGATGGGATTAGGAGTGTAGGAGGATTCTGGGAAATGTAGTCAAGAGTAAGGAGTCACCATGCACATCCCTGGGACTCCAGCACCAGACTGGGGCAGCCGAAACATCCAGTCCTGTGGCCTGAACAACTGCCAGGTCCTTGACTTTTCTGTGGGACACAGTCATTGTTGGACTACTCGAGTCACAACCTGTAAGCCACGCTAATAAATCCATGTTTGTATGTGTCTGTCCTTCTTTGCTCTCATGTGTATTCATCCTATTCTGTTCACTTAGAGAACCCTGACCAAAAAGCACAGCTGCCTTTCTCAATCTGCATAGTTTCTGTCTGGGGGCTGCAGTACCCATGGAGGCTTTAGTCTTAAGACTGAAACGGCATAAAGTTATAGTTGATTACAAAGTTCTTGCTGTTGGTTTTGTTTAATATTTCTGGAAAGCTGCTGAACCCATGGAAGGATCGGACTTTGACTTGATTCATTCACTTGTTGTCATCGCCAATCACTTTCCCAGCACCAAGTGGGAGTGGCAAGAAGCAGAATCCTCTGGCCCCCTTTGGCTCAAATTGCTGACAGACCTTGGTTCCTGTCCCTCCCTTGTCTGGGTCCTAGAGACCGACCAGGTTGGTACCTCTGGAGGCCAGGCCCGTTCAGGACTCACTTGGCTGTGTACAAGGCCTCTGAGTTCCCATGGCGGTGACGCTGAGCCTGCAGCCCGCGGGCCGCAGCTGCTGGGACGAGCCGTTGAGCATCGCCGTGCACGGCCTGGCCCTCGAGCAGCCCGTCACGCTGCGCGCCGCCCTGCGAGACGAGAAAGGCGCGCTCTTCCGCGCCCACGCGCGCTACCGCGCCGACGCCCGCGGCGACCTGGACCTGGCGCGCGCGTCCGCGCTGGGCGGCAGCTTCTCCGGGATCGAGCCCATGGGGCTGCTCTGGGCCATGGAGCCGGAACGGCCCTTCTGGCGCCTGATCAAGCGCGACGTGCAGACGCCCTTCGTGGTGGAGCTGGAGGTGCTGGACGGCCACGAGCCCGACGGCGGGCGGCTGCTGGCGCGGGCGGTGCACGAGCGTCACTTCATGGCCCCCGGGGTGCGGCGCGTGCCCGTGCGCGAGGGCCGTGTGCGCGCCACGCTCTTCCTGCCTCCAGGTGAGAGAGTGGAGGAGCTTGAGCACAAGGCCTGTGTCCCTACCAGGAGCTGGACTTCCTAGAAGTTCTGCAGTTCGCTACCGCAGATCTCCCCAGTCAGCATGGTTAGGAGAAACATTAGACAGGGAAGGAGACTGCCACGTTGCCTTTTTCTTTTGTCCTTCATACACACAGCCCCTTCCTCTAAAAAGGACACCGATTCTTTGAATTTCAAGATGCCTTTGCTTTGTCGTTTTCCCCTCTGTAGGAGATGGACCCTTCCCAGGGATCATTGATATCTATGGTGTTGGAGGGGGCCTGCTGGAATACCGAGCCAGCCTTGTGGCCGGCCATGGCTTTGCTACATTGGCTCTGGCTTTTTATGACTTTGAAGATCTCCCTAAGGATTTCAACATCATGGAAGTGGATTACTTTGAAGAAGCAGTGTGCTCCATGCTTCAACACCCCCAGGTTCTCCTCTGCTCTTGCCTCCCTGGGATTATCTACAGGGGTGGTCATCGGGGAAGTCTCTTTGGGAGACTTCCTTGACTTTGAGCATCTCATGTTTCTCCTTTCTCCATCGCATAGCTTCTTGGTGGGGACTCCATGTAATCCTATATGCTGGCTTTATGACCTTAAATTTCCTCTCAAATGTACTCACAACTTGACCACCCTTTTCAGAGGTTAAGAACGCCAAGCTGGACTTTGAAGTTCATGTTTCTATGAAGTTAATCATTTTCCAGTATGGCTTGGATAGAGTTGGAAGAACATACAAACCTTGGGTCAGAGCTTCATTCCCATGATTCGGTACATGGCCAAATAAAGTCTTGGTTCAGGGTCACTGCAAATGAGGTCTTGAAAGTGACAGGATCCCATGGCTCAGCATTTATAGCCAATTCCAATTGTCAGGCATTTAGTCGATATTCAGTATTTAGAATGACACTCATCCCTTCATGGTGGAGGCTGAGGCAGGAGGATTGAGAATTTAAAGCCAACTTGGACAAGTAACAAAATTCTGTCCTCAAAAGGAGTGGTAATTTAAAAAGAAAAAGAGATCTCCTGCGAGCTGATGTGGAGAGTGGCACTAGCCATCTTTCCAGTTGCATTAAAAATGGTGCATTTATTTTTATGTGTATGGGGTATAGCCTGCATATGTGTGTGTGCATCTCATGCATGTGGAGATCCCAGAGGCCAGGAGAGGGCGACAGATCCCTGGAACTGGAGTTATGGACGGTTGTGAGCTGCCATGTGGGTGCTGGGAATTAAATCAGGGTCCTCTGGAAGAGCAGCCAGTGTTCTTCACCACTGAGCCATCTCTCCAGACCTTCTAGTTGCATTTTTGGGTGCTTGGTAAGTTCTTTTTTAGTAACTTTCTGGGGTGTACATGTTCCACCACATACACATGGAAAAGAAGACCACTTGGAAGAGTCAGTTCTCTTCTACCTTGTAGTCCCAGGATTTGAACTTGGGTCATCAGATTTGGCAGCAAGCACTTCCGTTCTCCCAGCCAACCCCTCAGCCCTCTTTTTTCTTTCTGTTTGGTTCTTGGAGACTGTTTAACCTGGCCTTGAACTTTCTATGTAGCTGGCTGACTTTGAACTCCTGATCCTCCTGCCTCCACCTGCCCAGTGCTGAGATCATAGGCATGTTCCATTACACCTAGCTGGACACATTTTTGACTGGTGTCTTCTTTTTTTCTAGGTAAGGGGCCCAGACATTGGGCTTCTGGGTCTTTCTCTGGGAGCTGATGTTTGCCTCTCCATGGCTTCATTCTTGAAGAATGTCTCAGCCACAGTCTCCATCAATGGCTCTGCATTCAGTGGAAACAGACACATCCACTACAAGCAGACGATGATACCACCATTGGGCCATGACCTGAGGAGAATTAAGGTGGCTTTCTCTGGCATTCTGGACATTTTGGATATACAGAACGATATTGTAGGAGGCTATGAGAACCCCAGTATGATTCCCATAGAGAAGGCCAAGGGGCCCATCCTCTTCATCGCTGGCCAGGACGACCACTGCTGGAGGAGTGAGTTATACGCTCAGATAGCCTCGGAACGGTTACAGGCTCACGGAAAGCAATGGCCCCAGGTTATCCTTTACCCTGGGACTGGGCATTACATTGAGCCTCCTTACTTCCCCATGTGCCCAGCTTCTGTGCACAAATTAGTGGACAAAGCTGTGCTCTGGGGAGGGGAGGTCAGGGCTCACTCTAAAGCCCAGGTACATGCTTGGAAGCAAATTCTGTCCTTCTTTGGCAAACACTTGGACAATACCCAGAGCAGAGCTTCCTCTAGATTGTAGTGCATTTGTCTGTTGCTGATGGTAGATTCAAGGCCAAATTTTCATGTTCAGTAACTTTGGGTGCAAAGGTTTTCTTCTGGGTAACACTGAACTCATGTTTGGAGGCATTCATGGTTTATAGGTCACTGATAAGTTTTTAGTTGATACAGTACTCAGGTGGTTTGTCACAGGTATGGAAAGCCAACTATTGCTTGTATTAATAAACTGAGTAGCTTAGGTGGTCTTGTGGCAGTATTCTTGCTGGTCTGGCTCCAGAGTGCTAGTGCTTAACCCTAATCCATCTTTTGTCCATTGGATACTTTTTTTTCTCTTGTTGGCCTCTGTGTGAATCTTGTCTGAGCGTTTTCCAAAGGTGCAAAGCCTATGCAAAACTTGGTTCAAAAACAACTCAGAAAAATATGCTATTTTCTTATTGAGAATTGCATTTGGCATTGTCCCTTTGGAGGCCCAGTCAGGTTGTTTTGAGGACATGTTAATCAACTTGCTAAGGTATACATTGGAGTACAATAAAAGAAGCTCTGGGCTTCCACCCTGTGTAGCAAGAATTATAAAAAAAAAAACCCAGAGATAAGCTGGGCGGTGGTGTTGCACTTCTTTAATCCCAGCACTTGGGAGGCAGAGGCAGGCAGATCTCTGTGAGTTTGAGGCCGGGTTGGACCAACAGCCTCCAAAACAATACAGAGAAACCCTGTCTGGTAAAAACCAAACAAAAACAAAAACCCCCCAAAACCCAGAGATAGATATTGGGGTTAAAGCTAAGATCAGAGAAGCAAAGCTGCTTCTACCCATGCTCAGACCGAAGGGGTGATCCACAGAGACTCAGGCTGCCACACCCTCAGATTGCATCTCCAAACTGCACGACTGCTCAGACTCACTGATACTGCCCTGAGTTCCTGTCTCCTCCTGCCTTAAAATCCTCTCTCTGCCCAGTCATGTTACTCCTGTCTCCACCTCCATAGTGCTGGGATTAAAGGTGTGAGCTCTGTTTCTCTTTAAGACTGGTTTAGTCTCATGTAGCCCAGGGTGGCCTTGAACTCCCAGAGATCCATCTGCCTCTGTCTCCTGAGTGCTGGCATTAAAGGTGTGTACCACCACTGCCTAGCCTCTGTGGTTGTGGCTAGCTTTGCACTCTGATCTTCAGGCAAGCTTTATTAGATCATAAGCAATGTATCACCACAGCGCAGCAGCTGAGCAAGGCTAAATTCATTCTCAAGGTGCCTCTGAGTGTGCTTCACAGACCCTGGTGAACCCACATCTGAGTCGTAACATGGTTTGTCTCAGGCAAGCAAAGCCGACTATCACTTAAAGCTCAGTGTGAGGGCTTCCAAACCTCTACCTTTTAATTCACTGTATTTCAGTAGATACAGGACAAGGTAGACCACCACAAGCTGTCTACCTCGGATCCTCCTGCTCTACAAGACACAGACAGAATGAAATTATTCAGCTCTAAGAATGATTAAACTACCACAGAGGATCTGAACTTTTAATTTTGAAGACATTTTACAGTTACACAATTTTCCAAAACCTCAGAGACACTTATACAGTTCATCAACTTCCCCTAATGCTGGAACCTCATACACTATAGGTCAAATATAGTGATTCAGAAACTGACATGCTGCTATTGACTGTGGGATCTGTTTGAAATGAGCTTACTGCTGTCTTTAGGAAATGTGTGTTCAAATGTTACCAAGATGGAAGTGCAGGAGTTCCTCTGTGTCACTCATAACCGCTCTACACAATAGGATCAGATCTGGGGACATGAGGGACATCAGGGCTATGGCACAGGAGTCTGTCCTACCTGCTTATCACAAAAGAGGCTAAACTTCAGAGCCACAGCAAAGTAAATGAACTTAAAGAGGGTGACAGCCTCTACAGGGAAAGCCCTCTAAATTATCAGGATGGCATCCTTCGTCAAGGGGCGGGGGAGGAAAACATGCAACAACTGAGCTTTGTCATGGTTTTGTTTTTCTCGAACCAGGCAGCACTTCATTCTTTAAACAAATGTTCTCATCAGCTAAATAAGTAGAGGAGGCCAGTTTCATAAGAAAAAGAGCAGGAGGAGGCTTGGCCATTTTGAAATGATTTTCTCCATAAAAAGGAAGAAAACGAACAAAATGGATAATAATATCAGGTCCTTCGGGTTACTCATGTGGAGATGGATGCACTAACATATGCAAGGAAAGGACTCCCGTCTTCCACGCTTGAACCTGGCCTGTTTGGGGACTCTATTTCTTCTCCCCTCTGGTTTGTCCAGGAAACAAACTCAGAGAACAGCTTAGTTGCAATTCCATGATTGGTATTTTAACAATTCAGATGACTGAATTTTACATTTAACTCGGTCTTCTATAGAAACTATCTAAACAGTGACTTCCAGTGCTCTCAATCTGCCACCTTTGACTGACATTTCTAACCACTCCTCTTTTTACACGTGGACAGCACTTTGCCTTACTTGGCAGCTAGGAGCTTATCTCTTGCTTATGCTTCAAAAAAATTTCAGTTCTCCAACATTTTTCCTAATGTATAACTAGTGGAAAATAAATAAGAGTTCTCAACCCTAGTTCAGACAATAAAGTTTCTCTCTGGTGGCAGGTTGAGTTCTGACACAGATGCCAGTTACAGCAACCTGGCCTTTCCACACTGAATTCAGAGCCTGTGTCTCTTAGTCACGGAAACTTTTGGAGACCTCTCAGAGAGAAACCCTCTGGGAGTTTCCTGATCATAAGTAGACAAATGCTGCTTTAGATTAGAAAAACTGTTCTGTCTATTCATCAATCCCTGACCCTAGTTAGGGTCACAGAAATTCCCGTTTTGGGTTAGTTCTGGAGACAGCCCATCATCTGGGTACTTAATGCAGCCATTTCACTGGGTGCCTGGAACAGGTGGACTCTGGGTGAGGCCAGTTCCTCTCACAACTGTCTGTGGAAAGGTAAGTGTGATACACCACTAAAACAAGGAGTCCCCAGCAAAGGTTCATAAATGGCAACAACAGGGTCACCTCAGATGTTTCTCTCTCAGGTGCCAGAAGTCGATTGTTTCTTCACGGCGTGGAAAGCCAGGGGCAAGGACAGTAAAAGGTGTCTCTCTGTGTTCTGCCCATCTATGTATTTCGGGCCTCTGTGTTGAGGCCAAGTTCCCCACATCTGGCAACAGCTGACTTTTACAGGTGACTTCATACCAGAGGCCCATTTGTACAACTTTTTTTTTCTTTTTTTCTTTTTTGGTTTTACGAGACAGGGTTTCTCTGTATTGTTTTGGAGGCTATAGGTCCAGCCCGGCCTGGAACTCACAGAGATCCACCTGCCTCTGCCTTCCGAGTGCTGGGATTAAAGGCGTGTGCCACCACCACCCAGCTGTACAACTTTTAAAAATCCTATTCATTGAGCTTCGAACTGTTTTTCTCCCTTCTCCCCTCTGCTCCTTGTTGAGGTATGAAACTATGATTGTGTTCAGGCAGAAACACATCATAGGACAAGAGGAGGGTGAAATCAAGGTATTTCTTCCTACGAGGTTGAATCCGCGCCTACGTTGCTTGCCTCATCCTACTAGAAAAGCTGCAACTCTGCCAGGCAGCCCTCTTCTCCAGCCCTTCAGAGACTGTCTGTCTGTCTGTCTGTCTGTCTGTCTGTCTGTCTGTTTGCAGACAATGGTCGGGAGGGTGTGTTTAACTCTGAGAAAGACTTTCCCATCTGAGGTGTACATAACTCCAGAGTTACCTCCAGGTACTTGACTGAGGAAACTTGAACAGAATTCTCCAACAAAAGTTGTAGTTTTATTACCACAGGTAGAAAGCTTAAAGGAAAAGATGGAAGATTTATGGAAGATAGATTTCTAGAAAGTTCTGCTTACACAGACTTCTGGAGAGGCCCCCAAAAGAAGAAAAAAACAAACAATCCCAAACTTCTCTAGGGGCTTCTTACAGGACTCGTGCGGAAAGTGGGCCAACACTGAGGTAATTCCTACTGAGATGGGTTAATTCTCTGACCATGGGGAGACAAGCCATCAGGAGGCACATATTCTATGCACATTCTCCTGGCTAACCAGCGAGGAGGCACATATTCTATGCACATTCTCCTGGCTAACCAGCGAGGTGATGGGCTCTTCGTGTACTGCTTGCCTAGTCTGGGTGGTGGAAGCCCTTCTCCGCCAGTCTCTGACTTCTGCATTATTAGCTCTTGACCTTGTCTGTCTGCTGGTAGTTACTCTTGGCCAGAGTTGCTCTACTCCGACCTTGCAAGGTCTTGTGAGTCTTAGACCTTGGTGGTGTCTGCTAACCATTTTACCCTATGCTGTCTTTGTTTCTAGGTTTTGTGATCATCTCATTGCTTTACCGTGGGCCTTTTTCCTTTACTGTCTACAGAGGGTTCACAGTTATGACAGCTACCAACACATGGCTGTGGTTTTCCTGGGTTACATAATTTAGCTCATAGTCCGGACAATCTGGAAAAGGTCATGGTTTTTCTTCTTTCTTTCTTTCTTTTTGGAAATCACCCTTAAAATTTTGTCAGCTACAATTAGCTGCATTAGAATATACCAATGGGGGGGGCTGGAGAGATGGCTCAGTGGTTAAGAGAACTGGCTGTTCTTCCAAAAGTCTTGAGTTCAATTCCCAGCAACAGTATGGTGGTTCACGATCATCCATAATGAGATCTGATGCCTCTTCTGGCCTGCATGCAGACATGTAGGCAGAATGTTGTATAGGTAATAAATGAATAAATCTTTATATATATATATATATGTATGTATGTATACACACACACACACACACACACACACACACACACACACACACCAATGGGCAACAATGTCTTGTCTGTGCTTGGGGAAGGAGTTTCCAGGGAAGCCATTCTGCCTGCCAGTGCTGGTCCAGCTCATGCCCAGCTACAAGCCTCTATTTCTCTATTCTCAGCTTTAACTAACCTTTTAACCTTGGTCTCTGTTTCTTCACAGCAGTTGTCCAGGCTTTTGTAATAAGCTCATTTACAAAACACTTTTAAATAACCCCATTTGCTTCAACTTTCTCCTTGCCTGAACTCTGACTGGTACAGCCTCAAACTGACAACTCAGCTGAGTTGGAAAACACCAATTCCATGCTTGGTATTGGGACAGTTTTAATATATTAGTCCATTGATTCATCCCAGGAAAACTTTCCAGTTAAGGACCATTAATTACATATCTTGATAAGGAACTGGAAGAGTACAGAGTGGTGGATCAGGCCTGTGATTCCAGCACTTGGAAGGTGGAGAAAGAAGGAGCAGGAGGTCCAGGCTACATAGCCAGTTCAAAGTCAGGTGAAACAGTATCTCAAAACAACCACCGCCACTGCCACCACTACCTGGAAGGTAACTAAGAAGCAGCATCAATCTGTAACCCAGGAGGTCTGATTTCTATAGAAGCGACTCCAGGTTCAGAAAAGTCTAGACAAAAGCTGAGTCTAGAAGGCATAAAAAAAGATTAAAGACATATGGCCCTATTTCTCAAGGATTACTAGAATTGCCGTTTCCTGGAATGCTTTGGCACAATCCAGACTTTTGTAACGATATCCTTTTCAGTTTTCTTGTATACACTATTTCACCGCTCACCAGAGTGTAAAACAAGATTAATCATTACTCATCTAACGCACTGTAACATCTAATAAACGCTAGCGGGCATGGAACAGAGGCTGGCACCAAAGATCCCAGAAGAATTTACAGCTGTAACAGCAAGCCCTGGGAGGCCTAGAGCACCAAGGCAAAGCCAGGATCTGAAGCAATGCAGGCATTTACGGCCCAGAACCGGATGGCTCCTATAATGATCCTGGAGCCTGCAGATAGTTGCCTCTTCGACCAGCCAGTGCTCATCGCCGTGCACGGCCTGGCCCCCGAGCAGCCCGTCACGCTGCGCGCCGCCCTGCGAGACGAGAAAGGCGCGCTCTTCCGCGCCCACGCGCGCTACCGCGCCGACGCCCGCGGCGACCTGGACCTGGCGCGCGCGCCCGCGCTGGGCGGCAGCTTCTCCGGGATCGAACCCATGGGGCTGCTCTGGGCCATGGAGCCCGACCGGCCCTTCTGGCGCCTGATCAAGCGCGACGTGCAGACGCCCTTCGTGGTGGAGCTGGAGGTGCTGGACGGCCACGAGCCCGACGGCGGGCGGCTGCTGGCGCGGGCGGTGCACGAGCGTCACTTCATGGCCCCCGGGGTGCGGCGCGTGCCCGTGCGCGAGGGCCGTGTGCGCGCCACGCTCTTCCTGCCTCCAGGTGAGCGGCCCTCCCTCCCGGGCTTGCAGTCCCGGATGCTTCAGGGGTGCAGAGCCTGGGCTCCTCTTCCCTGTCTCCCGCACTCTCCACGGGGTCCTTGGAGGTCAGTGGCCCCTGGAAAAGTCTTTCTGACTTGGGTCATGGCTAGGCGAGTCCTGAACTGAAGGTCAGCTCACCAGCAGCATCTGAAGGCAAGCAGAGCATCAGAGCTGGCCCAGACCCTGTGAACTAGAAATCTTTTCTCTGTGATAATAAGACCAGCACGGGTTCTCGTTTGGCATCTAATGCTCTAGAACAATCCGCAGGTGGGCCAGCGCAAGCACTGGGGGACTTTCTAACTGGCAGGACTTGCGTGCCACTCTTGAGTTCGGAATCTGAAAGTGTGGGTGTGGAGGGCCGTCTTGGCTGATTCGGGGGTAACTTTTTCCTAGGGTAAGAGTCCCAGCTTTGAGAGGGACTTAAGCCCAGTAACTCACAGAGAGCCTTTCTAGGGGATTTGGCTAACTGTTTCTCCGTTCCTTTGAAATGAGGACAGAAATGGCAGTTTAGTGAAGGTCTGAGGATAAGGACACGGCACTTTTTGTTGTTTTGTTTGTGGAGATCTGCCTGCCCTCCTGCCCGCCTCTGTCTCCCAAGTCCTGGGATTAACGGGCATGTGCCACCCCGGCACTTCTTATAGAACAGTTAAGTGATACTGAAAACTGAGAAAGTGGCTCTTTGATTAAAAACTTTAAAATGCTTTAAATGTGCTTACTTGTTTACATATTTAAGTAGCAATAAGCAAAAATTCAAGAACTCAGAGGTCTCCGTAACAAGAGGTCTCTCTTTCGTGGGAAGTTATTATTACCGGCCTCTCTGGCAGTTGTCTTTCCTTCCAGTATTAGTCTGAAGGGCTGATCTCCCTCCCAACCAGAACGCTATTTTTAAAGTTCAGATTTTCCTGAGGACCCTGGAATGCTTCCTTCCTAGGTTCACCACCATTGTGAAAATCCCTTTTCTCTTTCTGTATACTTCTTACCGCTTCTAATCAGTTAGCTTGTCCTCCTTTGTCCCATTGCCTGACAGTCCCCTGCGGTAGCCGAGATCGCTGTCATACTGTATTCTGTCCTGGTTAGGCCAACCCGTATCTGTATTCAGTGAGTTCGGCTCTGCTTTTAAAAAGAATGCGTTTTGACTGTGGCAGTTCCACCGCGAGGACTCTCTTGCTCAAATCTCTGCGTGTGCTTGTGGCCTCTAAGGAGGCCATGAGAGGATCTTCTTATCTCCTCTAAGGGCGTTCCAGCTTTTCAGGTTATCTGAAACTGCCAAAAACGGGGTGAAGCTGTGCGACCCTGGAGGTGGATGGAAGGGTGTGCAGGATATGTTGGTGTGTGAAAGAAAAAGGTTTCAGAAATGTGACTATGACTTGACTGTTCTAAGAGATAAATGGTTTGTGTCTATTATAAACAATATAAATAGCCTGGGCATATAGTTGGCATGTACAGTCCTAACTCCTGGAGTTTATGGTATTTATCAGCACTGTAATATAAGGGGACAAAAGCAACAACCTCGATGATCAGTAAAAAGGAAACAAAGTATGATCTGTTCCTTAGTGTGTTTCCTAGGGTACAAACACAGCACACACCTCCAATTAGGGACAAAAATAATCATCTGGGATCTTGAGAGTTAAAACTTTACTACACATGACTTAGTAAAGTGTTTATCTAGCACTCAGGAGACCCTAGGTTTCATCCCCATTACCAAAAATGTGGATGTGGTGGCCCGTGTCTGGGGAAGTGGAGGCGGTAGGATCAGGAGTTCAAGGCTATCCATAACAGTCTGGACTACATGAGACTGTTTACAAATAAGTAAAGAGATTTCACATCAATTACAAATAGCCTAGAAAATTGCAGCAAATGTAGATGAAATGTGGCTTCAGTTTGATGGTTTTGAAAATTATAAGCCTTGGACATAGAAAGAGTGAATGTTGCAGGAGGATTTATTTTTGAGATTCTTCCAAGATGACCAATGATGATTAGATATCAAAAAACTTGGGCGCTGAAGCCGTCAGTTTCTGAGTTGTAAGGTTCCAGAAAAGTTTATGTGTTGCTAGAATAGGAGGCATACTTGTTCCAAGCCATTGGTGTAGGGACACCCAGCACCCATCACACCCTGAAGCTCACCAGTGCTGGCCACTCCGGGCTGCCACACACTCAACCCTGAGGACAGCTGGCTCACCCACAAGTGCAAGTCTAGGCAATAGGGGAGGGCAGAATCCCCATTTGCCATTTTTAAGAAAGGTAAGGTTGCAGATCTCACACTAATATTCCACCCAACAAGGCATATTTTCAAAAAAGGAAAAGAGGCTTGAATGTTTCGTGTCCTTTCTCCTGCCTCTCAATAAGCAGAATAATGAGTTAGTAAGACATTTGAAAACTAAATCTGCAAGGGGGGTGCTTTTGTTTTTATTTCTAAGGAAATGGGCCCTTTCCGGGGATCGTGGACCTTTTTGGAGTTGGCGGTGGCCTTCTGGAGTACCGAGCTAGTCTGCTGGCTGGAAAGGGCTTTGCTGTCATGGCTCTGGCTTATTATAACTATGATGACCTCCCCAAGGGCATGAAAGTCTTTCACCTGGAGTACTTTGAAGAAGCCGTGAACTACCTGCTCAGTCACCCTCAGGTTTGCTGTTAGAGTATTTCAGTTTAAAATCAGAGGTCCTAAATGCCTCCTGGAGTCAAAGTTGGATTTGCAACTGTGTTATAAAGTTTGAAGATTTATAACAATATTTAGTCTTTTTCAAATCCGCAGAGCAAAGTATATTTAACTGGGATGATCTCAGGGGGCATGAAAAGGTTGGTACACAGAAGTTTGAATCTGCCATAGGGTGACCCACCATCCCAGATTTCTGAGGGGAGAGGGTTACCTCCAGCAATGTCCATTTTCCCGCCCAATGAGATAGTCAAGACAAATCATGAGTGTTAGGGTCACCTTAGCCTTGTCACAGTCTTATGTCTGTGATTTTGTGTCCAGCCTCCAGGTTTGTTACAAGCATTAAATAACTCATTCTTGTGAAGCTCTTGGAATGTGCCTGCCATTTACCGATAAGTTTGTATTCATCCACCTAGCAAATACTAAAGGGGGTAGACACAGCATGGACAGGCAGAGAAGACAAGGCCATGTCATGTTTGTCCACACATAAACATAGACGCAGTGTGGGGACAGAAATAGAGAGCTAGGGAAAGGGGCCAGCAATTGTAACATTACTTGTTTGTGAAGTGACAGAGCTGATGGGGAACTCTGAAACACAACAGAGGGGAAGAGACTCATTCTGAAGGCTGTTAATTGTAACATTACTTGTTTGTGAAGTGACAGAGCTGATGGGGAGCTCTGAAACACAACAGAGGGGAGAGACTCATTCTGAAGGCTGTTAATTGTCTAGATCCACCTAGCAGTTGTGACTTTGTAAACACTCCAGTACCCATCACGACTTACTGGGAAGGAAATAAATACAGAAAGAAATCAACAGTGATTCAGAATCTCCTGAAGTAGCTTAAGTTGATTCTGTTTGTTTATATACACTTGATTATGATTTTATATACACAGATATACCAGGCAAGTAGCAAAATTTAATTATGTCAAAAAGGGCTTGACTTGTGATTTCTCATTGGAGTAGCAGGTAGACTCTGAGCTTCAGTGACCCTTCCAAAGTCAGGATGATATAGAGTCATACTTAGGCTCAGGGCCACCTGATATGCAGGACTGGGTAGTACTCACTGTCTTACCTTTTGTATGGGCTCACTCTCCTTTTCTGTCTGTGTCTTTCTCAGGTAAAAGGTTCAGGAATTGGGCTGCTTGGCATTTCCAAAGGGGGTGAACTTGGCCTTGCTATGGCCTCCTTCCTGAAGGGCATCAAAGCTGCTGTCATCATCAATGGCTCTGTGGCTGCTGTTGGGAGCACCATGCACTACAAGGATGAGACTATACCCCCTGTGACTAGCCTGAAAAAACGAGTCAGAAGGACCAAAGACGGCCTCTTGAATGTTGTGGATGCTCTGGAAAGCCCTTTGGTAGAAGAGAAGAGCTTCATCCCCGTGGAGAGGTCTGACACGACCTTCCTGTTGCTTGTAGGTCAGGATGACCACAACTGGAAGAGCGAGTTCTATGCCAATGAGATCTCCAAACGCTTACAGGCCCAAGGGAAGGAGAAGCCCCAGATCATCTGCTACCCAGAAGCGGGGCACTACATTGAGCCCCCTTACTTCCCACTGTGCAAGGCTGGCATGCACCTCCTGGTGGGTGCTAATATCACCTTTGGAGGGGAGCCTAAGCCTCATGCCGTGGCCCAGGTGGATGCATGGCAGCAACTCCAGACTTTCTTCCACAAACACTTGGGTAGTGAAGAAAGGACAATCCCATCAAAACTGTGATTTTTATTTAAGTTCTATTTTATTTAACATCTCTAATAAAGGTCTCTCTGGGAATAGCCTCTGCTGTGTGTGTGTGTGTGTGTATGTGTGTGTGTGTGTGTGTGTGTGTGTGCTTCTCTTTTCTCTTTTATATCAATGTAGAGGTTTTTTCTTCCCCAAATTATTTTTTGGGAATAGCCTCTGCTGTGTGTGTGTGTGTTTCTCTTTTCTCTTTTATATCAATGTAGAGGTTTTTTTCCCCCCAAATTATTTTTAACTGCAGGCCTTATCAGTCTGGGAGGAGAGTGATTGTACAGAAAACATGGGTGTAGCCAAAGCTAATATCTTGCCATGGCTCCACCTACAGGTGACAAGAGCCGTAGCTCTGAAAGAAAGGTCCAGTCACTGTTAAATCACTGGAGTTCAGTAATTATTTGCCGAATGGCTGACTAAAAAATAAATGATCACCTACTGTTTAAACAAACATCATCAGGGCCTGGGAAGGTGACTCAGCAGTTAAGAACACACATTGCTCTTATAGGACTTAAGTTTGGTTCCCAGCACCTGAACCAAGCAGTTCACAACTGACTAACTCTAGTTCCAACACCCGTACACACGTGTTCATACCCACACACACACACAGACATACACATAAATAAAAATTCATGGTTTTGAAAGCATAAACAATGGTCCTTGGTCTGTGTTGGCGCTATCGTGTGGATTCCACTAATTGTAGATTTATATATGCAGACCTTTCCACGTCATCGATGCACACAGAACACCACGATTACCAAGACAGCGTTCATGCTGTGGTTCACATTCCAAGTACTTGGCAAGTGACTTAACTGTTGCAATTCTCTGTGAGACATGCCAGTCACTGCAGTTTTGGCAGCTTACAAATGCCTGTAACTCCTGTTCCTGTCCTCCCTCAAGGGCTCTTAACTACTTAGCCATCTCCCCGGCACCACCTAGTGTTCTTTTTAATTTTAAGTATTTGTATGTTTAATGGATGCGTGTTGTTCCTTCACGAATGTCTTGCACCATGTGTGTGCAGTGCCTGTGGAGGCAAGAAAAAGGCATTGGACCATCTGCAATTAGAGTTATAGATGGTTGTGAGTTGCCATGAAGGTTCTATGAATCGAACCTGAGCCCCCTAAATGAGCAGCCAGTGCTCTTAATCATTGAACCATCCCTCCAACCCTGGTAATCGTATGCTTTCTTTTGTTGACACAGGGTCTCTCTAAGTAGTCCTGGCTGTCCTGGAACTTGCTTTGTAGACCAGACTGGCCTGGAATTAACAGAGACCCGCCTGCCTCCTGAGGGCTGGGATTACAGACATGGGCCACCATCCCTGGCTCTTTTTACATAAACAATTCCTGATGGTTTTCTCTCCTTAAAACTCAAAAACAGCTGGGCGGTGGTGGTGCACGCCTTTAATCCCAGCACTTGGGAGGCAGAGGCAGGGGGATCTCTGTGAGTTTGAGGCCGGGCTGGACCGGCAGCCTCCATAACAATACAGAGAAACCCTGTCTCGTAAAAACCAAAAACCAACCAACCAACCAACCAAACAAACAAACAAACAAAAAAAAAACCTCAAAAACAGGCTGAAGAGATGAATCAGCAGTTAGGAGCACTTCCCAATTTTTGAAACCACTGGAGTTTGGTTCCCAACATCCATGTTGGGAACTCTGTGAGTTCAAGGTCAGCCTGATCTACATAGTGAATTCCAGCACAGCCAGGGCTACACAGTGTGACCCTGTCTCAAAAAAAAAAAAAAAAAAAAAAAAAAAAAGGAAATGGTAGGCTCAGAGACTCAGTGAGAGAGGAAGAACAGTATCACCATCAGGGACAGACAGGGCAGCTCCTGAAAAGACTCCCAACTCTGATCCAGTGTGTGTTCTCCTCTGAAACCACAACATGGGTCAGTTGTAAGTGCGTTTACAGAAGCCCACACGGCAGTCCAAAGGCTCTTAAGGGCAATGACCTGCTGTTCCAGCTGTGTCTCCAGGCTACTCATTCCAGTTAGCATGTGGAGTCACAGTACGAACATTGCTTTATGTGAATCACTAAGTAAATCAAACCAGTGATTAATCTTTGCTACCTTATTCTACTTCTTTTTGTTAGTATGTGGGGGTGTGAGGATTCTTGTGTACTTTTTTTCTTTTTTTTTTTTTTTTTTTTTTTGGTTTATGAGACAGGGTTTCTCTGTATTGTTTTGGAGGCTGTTGGTCCAGCCCAGCCTCGAACTCACAGAGATCTGCCTGCCTCTGCCTCTCGAGTGCTGGGATTAAAGGTGTGCGCCACCACCGCCCGGCTCTTGTGTACTTTTGAAGGTCAGAGGTCAGCCTCGGATGCTGTTCCTCAGGAGCTTCGTACTTTGTGTTTCTGAGACAGGGTCTCTCACAGAGACCTGGATCTTATTGACTAGGCTAGACTGACAGGGCCAGCAAGTCTGAAGGATCCTCCTGTCTATCTCCCTGTGACAGGACAAGACAGTGCACTAGGTTCCTCTGTCTTGTATTCTTGCTGAGGTCATTTCAGGGTTTACTAGAACTTGGTCTTCCTGGTGGAGAATCGTGTGGAAAATTACCCAAGACTCTTCTAGGAACCTGAGGTCAGGATGTCCTAGCCAACTTAGGATGTGGGAACTGCTAACCACTGACTACTCTGAGCATCAACCGATAACTTCTGTGAGCCCAATGCAGCTGCCAAGCGAGATGCCAGGGTGTGGGTTTTGCCTTTACAAACGAAACGCTACTCGCTGGACACTCAGCACACCTGGGCCCTGAGTAGCTGGATATGGTCCAGCTGCTGGAATAAAGATTTAAACTTTGATTATAACCCGTATCTGAGTGGTTTCAGAGTATGGTTTTATGGCGTATATTGTTTATATTTTAGTGAAACCTTTGTTTTGCTGGGATACTCGGTGCTCTGGTAAACTGAGAAATTAGTGGTGATTAAGAAGAAGCCAGCATTGTTGAGGTGAAATCTTCTGGAAGTGCTTTCTGAAGGGCAGCACACACAGCCTGTGGTCTAGATATGACCAAGGTTGTTCCTTGTGCTGACAGCTGAACGCTGAAGTGTAAGAGTCATACATCTGGTACTGGTTTTGAGGGCATGAAGGGGTCATAGAGAGCAGCTGAGGCTTGTCACTGTGTAGCAGGCAGTGCTGGTGTCCCCAAAGAGAGCCCAGAAAAGGCTATTGGTGAAAGTGTAGCTGGGTCACAGCAAGGAACCCCAGCAGTTTTGGAGATGCCAGAACCATGGGATGACCACCAAGAACAGCAGCAGCAGTAGTGGAAATGTGACGGAAAGTTCCAGGCATAAATGTAAATAAAGTCACGAGAGTCCAGTGTGACTATAAATACAAGGTAACTTGAGTATATGTGTAAATATAAAGCATGGGCCAGGAAAATGGTAAACAGCTGTTTGTACATTTACTCTGAATGTGCCTATGTGTAAATATAAAGGGTATGCTTTCTTTTATCTCTCTTTAGTAAATTAGCCAATCATATGTGTTAGTGTTTTATGGTGGTGAAGAGACACCAGGACCATAGCAACTCATAAAAGAAGCACTTTGCCGGGCGTTGGTGGCTCACACTGTTAATCCCAACAGTTGGGAGGCAGAGGCAGGTGGATCTCTGTGAATTTGAGGACAGCCTGGTCTACAGAGTGAGTTCCAGGACAGGCTCCAAAGCAATACAGAGAAACCCTGTTTCAAAAAAAAAAAAAAGAAAGGAAAAAAGAAAACATTTAATTGGAACTAGCTTACAGTTCAGAGGTTTAGTCCGTTATCATCATGGCAGGGAGCATGGTGGCATATGGGTAGACATGGTGCTGGAGAAGTAACTGAGGGTTCTATATCCAGACCCACATGCAGCTGGAAGAGAGTAGTAACAACACTGGGCCTGGCTTGGCTTCAGAAACCTCAAAGTCTACCTCCAGTGATACGCCTCCTCCAACAAGGCCACTTCATGATGACTAAGCATTCAAATTAAATATGAGCCTGGGTGGGGGTATTCTTATTCAAACCATTATGCCATGCTTCATTAGGACTTGTCCTGAACTTCCTTTTTAAATTATGTTATATGTATGGTGGGTGTGTGTATGAGCATTGGCATTTGTGGAGATACATATGTGTGTGGTGGTGATGTTTACGTACATGCATGGCAGAAATCATGCCGTCACCCTTGGGAATAGGGCATAGGTGTGTTGCAAACGGAGCTCCTTAGACAGCAAGGAGCTGTGGAGAATCCCATCCATTTGGTAAGAACCTATGGATACAATGCTGCAAACTCCCGTGCTGACTATAGGGAGCTCGTGGGCTTCAGGCTTCTCTAACTTTTGCTATGCCTGAGTTTACTAGAAACAAAAGCCTCTACAGAAAAACTAAATTTCTCTGATCTGTTACAGAAACCGGTCATCCTAAATAAGCAGGAGGAACTCACTAAGGATAATGATTATTGCTTCTTCAAAACCAAAAAGAGATAAATATATTCCAAAGAACATAAGAACCAAGAAAATGGTTTCTGAAAAGATGACATTAAAAACCTTATAGGGACACAGAAGGAAAACAGATAGGACACAAAAGGTCAGACATTTATCTGGCACTAGGACATGAACACTCAGATACTTTTCCAATATCAAAGTATCAATAAAGGAATCTAAAGCTCCTAGTTCCTCTTAAAGGAGTACATTTAGAAATTGCCAGGAAGAATAAAGACGCTTAGTCTCAATAGTTAAAGAGTTAGGTATTAATCATTATTATTTCGAGAACTTATAAAGAATAGGATTATAACTGCAATCCACATACTAAAATTGACATACAGGTCACTGAGAAAGTGGTATGCACCTAAAAATGATACTCTAGGCATCACAATATATTCATCGGATCACATATTGTTAAGAATTAATCACCGGGCTCAAATCTCTTACTTTGTAACCACATGTTTGCTGCCGGTTAGGGCACAGTATGAATAAGATGTACCTAACTAGATATAAACATTTGGCTTGCTATATGATGATATGGGGTAAAGGTCAATGACGTCGAGGGAGTGGGAAAGAAGAGAAACTAAAATGTTAATGATTCCTTGAAACTGCTCATGCTCGAATGCATTGGAACCTATATGAATAAAGACAGCCTGAGCTGGTCTGGGCCATCAGTTTGAAAGACAGCTGGTGTTCAGACTCTTCATTTTTCTCTGACTTCACACATCTTTCCCAAAACTCAAGAACCCTGCTGGAGCTGAACTCCGGCACACGCATGTGTGGGCATCTATGTGGAGACCTGAAACTGGCATCGTATGTCTTCCTCCATTGCTCCTGCTTTGTCTGTAGAGGCAGTGTCTCTGGCTCACTGACTCCAGCTACTCTAGCTAACCAGGTAGCCTCTCAGATTACATGCCAGCCTGCCTTTTACATGATACCTTAGTCCTCACACTAGCACAGCAAATGCTTTCTCTGCTAGGCCCCCTCTTCAGCCCCTTAGAAATTCTCCATGCTCTATGATGCAGTCAGCTTTTACCATGGTGGTGGTAGGCAGCATCTCCTTCCCTTCCTGACATGTTCAGTCAAACAGAAGCACACTTCGGGATGAGAAGAGTTAAATGGAACAGTTATCTCCTGTTTGCATCATCATTCTGATGTGAACTAAATTTCCCAGGGAAAAAAAAGCCACACTGATGTTATTGATGTTGATTCAAACTTCTGCAATCGACAGACACACAGAGCCAAATTTTCTTGCCCTACCTTTAGTCCCCTTTAAACTCCTCTCTGTTTAACATACTATCCAGCCTGTGGTAAATCCTTTTGCAATGTACAGACCCCTAGCTTCCACCAACCACTCTGAGAATACCATCAGGTAGCATCCGAGGCCGATAGTGGGTAATTCCCAAGGTGACTTGCCCAGCTGATGCCTGCATCAAAGTATCTTAAGAGTGCCTTGGGATATGACATTCTTTTGTTTGTTACCATAAAAATTTCATGGAACTGTTATCAGGTTGGAACAAGGTTTGGAGACAACCCGAATCTGTATTTCTGGATAACAATTAACCAATGGTTCCAAGAAAACAAACAAACAAAAAAACCTTACTCTTTGAAGTGAGTGCTGCCTGTCTGGATTGACACTAGGTTGTAGTTGCTGCTGGAGAACCTTATTCCTCTGCCCTTTGAGGATCTCAGTGAAGCACCAAGCCTTATTAGCAACTACCACAACCCTTTTAAATGTTGCCGCGGTACCAACAAACTGTTCTTCCTAGTCCCATAAGCAACTGTTTCCTGTCAAGACTCTGAGAAAACCCAAAACCTTTGAGTTGGGTTGGAAAATCTCTTTCCCTGTCTATCTAGGCTGGGGGTATACTGGCTGGTATTATCCCAGGCTCCCAAGACATTAATCCACTGAGTCATGACTTCAGCCTGGTGGTCTGACTCCATACTCTTGGCTCCAGCTTCTGTTCAAGGTTGCATGAGAAAATGCTAGCAACATACCCAAGGAAAGTAGGTTCAAGGCCAAGTTTCTAAAGGTCATCGTATTAAAGTATCTTGGTGTTCTTTTGCAAAACTACTTTTATGGGAGCAGCGATCCTTTCCTATCAGTCTTTGTACCTGTATTTCAACATAATCATTACTATTGCTCAGCTTTTCTGCATATGGGTCAACGCATACCACAAACTCTAAGGAGTTTCATACCGCGATTGCTAAAGCACATAAATAGGGTGAAGGGTTCCCTCGTGATCACTGACTCAAGAAGTTGAGAGACCTTATTTAACATACAGTATTCTCCTTTTTCACGGTGTCAGGATGGTGCCAACAGTAAGCCTGGAGCCCACGAGCCGCAGCTGCTGGGACGAGCCGCTGAGCATCGCCGTGCACGGCCTGGCCCCCGAGCAGCCCGTCACGCTGCGCGCCGCCCTGCGAGACGAGAAAGGCGCGCTCTTCCGAGCCCACGCGCGCTACCGCGCCGACGCCCGCGGCGACCTGGACCTGGCGCGCGCGTCCGCGCTGGGCGGCAGCTTCTCCGGGATCGAGCCCATGGGGCTGCTCTGGGCCTTGGAGCCCGAACGGCCCTTCTGGCGCCTGATCAAGCGCGACGTGCAGACGCCCTTCGTGGTGGAGCTGGAGGTGCTGGACGGCCACGAGCCCGACGGCGGGCGGCTGCTGGCGCGGGCGGTGCACGAGCGTCACTTCATGGCCCCCGGGGTGCGGCGCGTGCCCGTGCGCGAGGGCCGTGTGCGCGCCACGCTCTTCCTGCCTCCAGGTGAGCAACCCTTCCTCCCGTGCTTGCAGCCCCGGATGCTTTAGGGTTGCAGAGCCTGGGCCCCTCTTCCCTGTCTCCAAGTACTCTCCCTAGGGCCCTTGGAGGTCAGTGGCCCCTGGAAAAGTCTTTCTGACTTGGGTCATGGCTGGGCGAGTCCTGAACTGAAGCAGCATCTGAAGATGCTTAGGCAAGCTCATCAAAGTTCATCACATTAAGCCCTGTGAACTAGAAATCTTCTCTATAATAAGACCCGCGGGCGTTGTGCACGGGTTCACGTTTGGCATCTGCTGCTCTAGAACAATCCTTCAGGCAAGGTGGGCCAGCGCCTTCTAACCTCCAGGACTTGTGTACCACTCGAGTCAGGAATCTGAAAGCGGGGGTGTGGAGGGCCATGGAGTTTTGTTTCTTGGATGATTCTGAAGTAGCTTTTTCCCAGGATAAAAGAGCTTCAGCTTTGAGGGGGACTCACAGCTCAGTCAGTGACTCACAGAGAGATGTTCTAGGGGATTTGGCCAGTGGCGTTCATGACACTCTGAATTGTTGAAATGCTGATAAAAAGCAGTTTGTTGGCCGGGGTGGTGGTGGCGCACATCTTTAATCCCAGCACTCGAGAGGCAGGCAGATCTCTGTGAGTTCGAGAGCATCCTGGTCTACAAGAGCGAGTTCCAGGACAGTCTCCAGACCTACAGAGAAACCCTGCTCCCACCCCACCCTTCCCCTCAAAAAGCAGTTTGAAGATCATCCTAGGATACAGGTGCTGCATTTCTTGCACAACAGTTCATCTGTAGCACTGCACGTTGTGGTGGCCGCAATATTGCTGCAGTAATGGAAAGAATGCAGATGCCCCTGGCAAACAGCCTTAAAGTGGGAAAGCTCCACATTTATGCAGTATCACGGATAAATCCATTAGCACTAAAGGGCCTTAGACATTCCCATGATGCCTTCCTTGACTTCCTCATCAGTGTTGCGATGCTTTATATACTCTTTTGGCTCTTTGGGGGCCCCACCACCCGACTCCCAAATAAATCACACATGTAGGCTTATCCTTAGATTTGAATGCTCAGCCTTAGCTTGGCTTGTTTCTTGCCAGCTTTTCTTAAATTAACCTATCTACCTTTCCCCTCTGGGCTTTTCTCTTTCTTACTTCTGCATATCCTACTTTCCTTCTTACTCCGTGGCTAGCTGAGTGGCTGGCTGGGTGGGTGGCTGGGTGGCCTGGGGGTTGGCCCCTGATGTCCTCCTCTCCTTGTTCTCTTGTTGCCCCTCCTTCCTGTTTTCTCCTTCTATTTATGCATTCTGCCTGCCAGCCTCCCTATCCTTGCTCCTGCCTCGCTATTGTCTGTTCTTTATTAGACCATCAGGTGTTTTAGACAGGCAAAGAATCAGTCACACGCCTTAAAATAAAATCCTACCACACACCGGCATCTGTGTTACTTCCTATTCTAAGTCTCTCATAACCTGGTATCCTAATTAGGACACTGTAAAACTCAGAGCATCCTGGGTTCACTAGGATGTTTAAGTCTGGGGTATACTACCATTATTTAATTTTCCAAGGTACGTTTTTTTCTACTTTCTCCTGATTGCAACTTGCAGTCAACTAAGTTTCCTTTGTCAGTGAGCCTTTCACATTGTAATCTGTCTGTGTTAGGGTCAGCTAACTCTTGGTACTTGGGGAGTTCCTGCAAGCCATCCACGTCTGTTCTCCCTTTAAAATTGCCGGAAGGCGCTGGTAGCTCCTCCTCCAGGAAGCTTTCCAGTTAAGTCCTTGAGTAGCTATGAACACGTGAAAACAATGTAAATGTCCATTCGTGTCTTAGTTAGGGTTTCTATTGCTGTGAAGAGACACCACAACCATGGCAACTCTTATAAGGAAAAACATTTCACTGGGGCTGGCTTACAGTTTCAGAGGTTTAGGCCAGTATCATCTTGGTGAGACATGGTGGCGGGCAGGCAAACATGGCACTGAAGGAGCTGAGATTCTTGTGTCTTGCTCCACAGGCAACAGATGGAAATAGTTACACTGGGTGTGGCTTGAACATATATGAGACCTCAAAGCCAACCCCCACAGTGGCATACTTCCTCCAACAAGGCCACACCTACTCCAACAAGGCCATGCCTCCTAATAGTGCCACCCCCTATGGGTCAAGCATTCAAACACACAAGTTTATGGGGGCCACCATAAACTTGGTTAGAGAATGGGTGAGTGTTGTGGGATAATGTTTTTGTATGCTGTGGAGGTATCTCTGCTAAGACACTTCTAGTTGCATTAGTAAAGAGCTAAATGGCCAATAAATAACTAGGCTGGATAGACAGGACTTCTGGGAAGAGATAGGAACTCTGGAATGAAAAGAGTTGGAATTTGCCAGCCACACATGGAGGAAATGAGACATACAGTATGGAGGACAGGTAGCATGCTATGTGGCAAAATGTTGATTAATATAAACAGGTTTCACAGAAACAGTTGACCTAAACAAGGGGGAGCTCATGGACCCCAGACTGATAGCTGGGAAACTAGAATAGAAATGACCCAGACCCCCTGATTGTGGGTGTCAGTTTGGAAGTCTGGTTAATCTATGGGGTCTCTGGCAGTGGATCAGTATTTATCCCTAGTATATGATGGACTTTGGGAGCCCATTCCCCACAGAGGGATACTCTCTCTCAGTCTAGACTCATGGGGCCTAAGCCCTGCTCCAAATGACATGACAGACTTTGAAGATGCCCCATGAAAGGCATCACCCTCCCTGGGTAGCAGAAAGGGGATGGGATAGGGGATTGAGGGGGGGGTGGCAGGGAAGGATGGGAGGGAGAGGGGACTGGGATTGACATGTGAAACAAGCTTGTTTTTAATTTAAATTTTAAAAAAGGAAAAAATATAAACGGGCTAATTTTTAAGAGCTAGTTGGAATAAACCTAATTTAAGGTCAAACTTCCTACTTAATAAGAAGTCTGTCATTATTTGGGAGGTGGTGGTCTAAAGAGAGTCCAACAATAGGGGAGCTGAAGTTTCTAGCAGGGAAGAAAAACCACATGTGCTTTGGAGGAGGTGATTGAGTGATTAGGACTTCGTGATTGTGGACAACTAGAATATTGCAGCCCAAAGCCAAGTGATCTAGGAGCATCTTTAGCCCCCAAAATATCCACTTACTGCCCACCTTACATCCTTGTAACTATCAGGTAAATCTTTGGGAATGTACAGACCTCTAACTTCCATCAACCCAGAGGCTAAGTGTGTTGTCCAGTAACACACCTTCTTGATGTTTCCACCAATGTGCTTCAAAAGGACCTTGATTTAAGGTGTCTGTATGTGTCTGAGTGTGCACTCACATACGTGCGTGTGTACCTGAGGAGGCCAGAAGACAGCATCAGATTCCCTGGAGCTAGTGTTACAGGCAATTGTGAGCTCCAACATGGGTGCTGGGAACCGAACTTGGATCTCTGGACAAGCAACAAATATTGTAAACTACCGACCCAATTACTGATTTTTGGGAGAGGAAGAGGGTATTGTTCTTGTTATGCCTTGATAAGACATCATGATTAAGGTAACTCATAGCAAAAGGAGTTTATTGGGGGCTTGCTCACAGTTTCGGAAGGCTAGAGTCCATGACCATCATGGCCAGGAGCACCACAGCAAGTAGGCAGGCGTGGCCCTGGAGCAGCAACTGAGATTTTTCATCTGACCCATGAGAGAGAGAGAGAGAGAGAGAGAGAGAAAGAGAGAGAGAGAGAGAGAGTGTGTGTTCATTACAAATGTTAAGAGGTCTCTCTCTTGTAGGAGGGAGGAGCTTTATATACAGGTTTACAGCACAGTGGAAAAACCCCAGGTAGAAGAGAGCATGTTTTCCTCCTGCTGAATGTTGATGTCAGAGGGTCAAGGTCAGGGCAATAAGTCAGGACTAGAAAACAGGAAGCACTTGGACTGGAAAACAAGTTTGCACTTGTAGGCTGACCAGCAACTCACAGAGACCCTGTGGGGCTGGGGCCCAACACAGTGACACACCTCTTCCAGCATGGCCATTATTCTTAGTCCTTCTCAAACAATTTCACCATGGAGGACCAAGCGTTCATTCAAACTACCACATGTTACCATAAAACCTTCATGGAAGTGTTACCATGCAGGGGCGACCTTAGTCCATGTTCCTGAAGCATGCACAGTCAGATTCAGGTTGAATATAAACTGTTTCTTAGTTTCCTCCAACTGTTTTACATCAACAAATAGAGTTTTCATGTGTCTATACTTGAGATGACCTATAGATGTTAAAAATACATGAATGTGGCCAGGTGGTGGTGATGCACATCTTTAATCCCAGCACTTGGGAGGCAGAGGCAGGTGGATCTCTGTGAGTTGGAGGCCAGCCTGGTCTACAGAGCAAATTCCAGGATATGCTTCAAAGCTACACAAACACTATCTTGGAAAAAATGTGAATGTACTGGACAATGGTGGTGCATGCCTTTAATCCCAGTATTGGGGGTGGGTAGGAGTAGGTAAATATCTGAGTTTGAGGCCAGCCTGTTGTTCAGAGCTAGTTCCAGAGTGCTGGAATTAAAGGTGTGTGCCACCATGCCCTGCTGCTAATAAATGTTTTGTTTTTAATCTAGGAATTTACAAGCAAGTACAGGTAAATGTGGACTTTGACTCTTTGGTAGCAATCTTGAAAATCACAAACCTTGGCATAGAATGTAGAGACACTACCTGAGAATTTAGAATTCCTTTCCTAATTTTTTTAAGGATCATCAGTGATAGATTTTTGACATCACAATACTTTGGAAGTGCAATTAATCTGCAATTTTCATTGCAGACACATTAAAAAATTTTGGATGATTTAAGTAGGAAAGAAATGTACTTGAAAGTCACTGATTTAGAAATACAATGGAATAGGCATTGGAAAAGTGGCTTCAGAAAACTGAGAGGATCCTAGGGAAGTCCCGGCACCCAGTCAGCAGTTGACATCCATAAGGAAGGACACTTGGGGCTGCTGTGGACTGGATGCAAATGCCATTGAGCTGAGTAAATAGTAAACCGTTTCCCCCTCTTGTGTCTTTCTTTCTAAGGAAATGGACCCTTTCCTGGGATCATAGACCTTTTTGGAGTTGGCGGTGGCCTTCTGGAGTATCGGGCTAGTCTGCTGGCTGGGAAGGGCTTTGCGGTCATGGCTCTGGCTTATTATAACTACGATGACCTCCCCAAGGACATGGACACTGTCAACCTGGAGTACTTTGAGGAAGCTGTGAACTACCTGCTCAGTCACCCTCAGGTTGCTTTCATCTTTTGGTTTAGAAACATCCACCCACCAGGGCAGGATTCTCAACCTAGTGGCTGAGGTGCAGAAACACGATCAAATACCTAGACGTCTTTTATTGTCTAAAAAGTTTTTATGCATATGAGCATTTGCCTGCATGCATGAGTGCCTGATACCTGTGAAGGAGAGAAGAGGGCTTTGTATCCCCTGGAGCTGAAATTACAGACAGTTGTAAGCTACCATGTGGATGTTAAGCACTGAGCCATTTCTCCAGCCCCAATATCGATCACCTTACAAAAAACAAGATGGAGCAGAGTGAGATTCAGGCTCAGGGCTGCCTTGCATTCAAAGATTAACACCACTAAGTGTTCTAGCATCTAATGCACTCATTCCCTTTCTTTTCTGTCCCTTTCTTAGGTCAAGGAGCCAGGAATTGGCCTGCTGGGGATTTCCAGAGGGGGTGAACTCTGCCTTTCCATGGCCTCTTTCTTGAAAGGCATCACGGCTGCTGTCATCATCAATGGTTCTATGGCCAATGTTATTGGGAAATTGTGCTATAAGGATGAGACCCTGCCCCCTTTGAGCACAAATGTAGATCGAATCAAGGTGACCAAAGATGGCATTAAAGATATTTTTGATGTCCTGAGTTGCCCTACAGAAGGACCTGAACAGAAGAGCATCATCCCTGTGGAGAGGTCTGACACGACCTTCCTGTTGCTTGTAGGTCAGGATGACCGCAACTGGAAGAGCGAGTTCTATGCCAATGAGATCTCCAAACGCTTACAGGCCCATGGGAAGGAGAAGCCCCAGATCATCTGCTACCCAGAAGCAGGGCACAATATTGAGCTTCCTTATTTCCCTTGGTGCAAGGCTTCCCTACATGCCTATTTTAGAATGCCTGTCGTCTTTGGGGGAGAGCCCAGGGCTCATGCCATGGCCCAGGTTGATGCGTGGCAGAAACTCCAGACTTTCTTCCACAAACATTTGGATGGTGAAGTGAGGACACCCGCAGCAAAACTGTAATTTTCTTTGGGTGGTGACATTTCTGATGCTGATCACTCCTGAGAATGGCTGTCACTGTTAAGATATATATATATATATATATATATGTATGTATGTATGTATGTATGTATATAGTGGTTCCTACTTTCTTATGATGCCAAGGATTGAGCCCAGGGCTTGTGCATGGTAGACTAACACTCTGTCACCAAGCTATCCCACTGTACCTTAGATGGCAGCAATTTTAAAGAAACCTGAGAGGCTGAGAAGTGTATCTGCTCTCTGGCACAGCCTGCAACCCACAACTCCAGTTCTAGCAGGAGAAGTGAATAACACGGGCAAATGCAGTCATGATGTAGTTTAGCAACTATTTGCTAAATGACTTAAATACATCTTTGCTGTACAAGAAAGCATATGCAGTGGCCCCTTGTGTATGTGGGTCCACATTGCAGATTCTACCACCCATGGATGGAACCGAAGACAGCACTGTATCTGTGCTGAACAGACAGGGGCCTTTGGGGGCCATTCATCGTTCCTTAAGCTTTATGCCATGGTATAGGAGCTATTTGTACCATGTTTGTGTTACTCTTAGAGATGTAAGTACCCTGGACGTGATCTTAAAGTTTTAGTGATTATTTTCAGATTACATGCCAATTCCACACCACTTTATACCAAGTGCATGAATCACTGCAGCTTTGAGGCCCGGATACAGTAAATGACTGTAATATCAAAAGCATTACACCATCAGCTTTGGGCTTCTCTACTTAGAATGGAAGTCATAACACTTTTGTTTCAAACTATTTACTACTTAGACATAAAACTAATAAAACATTTAAAGCAAACACACATCTAGTTTTATGATATCGTTTCCAATGAATAATGGTTCATTGAGCAAAGAAACTATATTTGGGCTTTCCAGAATCTCCTGGCCTGGGGACTGCAGCCAGGTCGACTCGCCCTCAGAGGACCAAGCAACCAGGAACCTGCTGAGAGTTCCGGTCTACTCCACCCCCACTCAGGGCAGAGGAGAGGGAGTGCCTGCCTGCACCCATCGTGAGACCCATCAGGTATTTGACCTGCTTGCACACACCAGAAGAGAACCTTGGACCCATACCCACCAGGAAAGGAAATGTACCCACTGGAAGAAGAGATAGGAAGATGACAATATAAGAACACATTCAACAACAGAAAAATCAATATGATGCCACCAGAGTCTAGGGACTCTACACCAGCAAGACCTGAACATCCCAACACAGATGAAGCAGAACATAACAACCTTAAAAACAACTTCATGAAGATGATAGAGATCCTAAAAGAGGAAATGAGAAAATACTTTGAAGAAATGGAAGAAAAGACAAGCCAAAAATTGCAAGAAACAATTCAAACAGTGCAAGGTTTGAAAGCTGAAGTAGAGGCAATAAAAAAAACACAGTCTGAAGGAATGCTGGAATTAGAAAAGGTGAGTAAATGATGAGGAACTACAGATGCAAGCATGACAAACAGAATACAGGAGTTAGAAGAGAGTCTCAGGCATTGAAGATTCACTAGGAGAAATAGATTCATCGACCAAAGAAAATCCTAAGTCCAACAAATCCCTAACACAAAATATTCAGGAAATATGGGACACAGTGAAAAGGCCAAATCTAAGAATAATAGGGATAGAAGAAGGGGAAGAAACCCAACTCAAAGGTGCAGAAAACATATTCAACAAAAGCATAGAAGAAAACTTTCCCAAACTAAAGAAAGGCATGCCAATGAAAGTATAAGAAGCCTACAGAACACCAAATAGAGGGGAACAAAAAATAATAATCAAAACCCCAAGCATAGAGAATATAGAAAGAATATTAAGAGCAGCTAAGGAAAAGGGCCAAGTAACATATAAAGGCAAACCTGTCAGAATCACACCTGACTTCTCCATGGAAACTCTGAAAGCCAGAAGGTCCTGGATAGATGTTCTACAAACACTAAGAGACTATGGGTGCTTTCAATCACTATAGGTGGAGAAAACAAGATATTCCATGACAAAACCAGATTTAAACAATACATATCTACTAATCCAACCCTACAGAAAGTACTGGAAGGAAAACTTCAACCTAAGGAAGGTAAATAATCATGCTCACAAAACATAGGCAATAGATAATCTAACTTTACCAAAAGTCAAAAGAAAAAGTGGGATAAATCCACAAACAATAACACCACCAACAACAAATCAAAACCAAACATGAATTAACACTCAATGGTCCTTAATCTATGTCAATATTAATGGTCTTAATTTGCCTATAAAAAGACACAGGCTAACAGAATGGATACATAGACAGAATCCATCCTTCTGCTGCATATAAGAAGCACACCTCAACTTCAAAGACAGACATGACCTCAGAGTAAAGCATTGGTATAAGAATTTCCAATCAAATGGCCCCAAGAAACAGGCTGGTGTAGCTATCCCAGTATCTGACAAATGATACTTCAGACTAAAATCAATCAAAAGAGGTGAAGAAGGTCATTTCATATTTATCACAGGGAAAATCCATCAGGAAGAAGTCTCAATTCTGAACATCTATGCCCCAAATACAAAGGCACCCATGTTTGTAAAAGAAACATTACTAAAACTCAAATCACACATAAGACCTCACACAGTTAAAGTGGGAGACTTCAACACCCCACTCTCACCACTTAGACAGGACCACCAGACAGAAACTTAACAAAGAAACAAAGGAACTAATAGAAGTTATGACCCTGTCAAACTCTTTTTATGAGGCTACAGTTACCTTGGTACCCATGTCACACAAAGACACAACTAAGAAAGAGAACTACAGACCAATATCCCTCATGAACATTGATACAAAAATACTCAATAAAATACTAGCAAATAGAATCCAAGAACACATCAGAAAAATCATCCACCATGATCAAGCAGGCTTCATCCCAGGGATGCAGGGATGGTTAAGCATAAGAAAATACATCAATGTAATCCATCATATAAACAAACTGCAAAAGAAAAACCACATAATCATCTCACTTGATGCTGAAAAAGCCTTTGATAAAAATCTAACATCCCTTCATGATAAAGGTCCTGGAGAGATCATGGATAACAGGAATATACCTGAACATAATAAAAGCAATATACAGTAAACCAATAGTCAACATCAAACTAAATGAAGAGAAACAACACAATTCCTTTAAAATCAGAAACAAGATAAGGCTGTCTACTCTCTCCATACCTCTTTGGTATTGTACTTGAAGTTCTAGCTAGAATAAGACAACAAAAGGAGATCAAGGGGATACAAATTGGAAAGGAAGAAGTCAGACTTTCACTATTTGCAGATGACATTATAGTTTACATAAGTGACCAAAAAAATTCTACCAGGAAATCCTCCAGCTGATAAACACCTTCAGCAAAGTGGCAAGATACAAGATTAACTTTTAAAAAAATGTCAGTAGCCCTCTTATATACAGATGATAAATGGGCTGAGAAAGAAATCCGAGAAACATAACCATTTACAATATCCACAAACAAAATAAAATATCTTGGTATAATGCTAACCAAACAAGTGAAAGATCTGTATAACAAGAAAGAAATTAGATACCAGAAAAATGGAAAGATTTCCCATGGTCTTGGGTAGGTAGTATCAACATAGTAAAAATGGCAATCTTGCCAAAAATCTACAGATTCAAAGCAATCCCCATCAAAATACAGATACAATTCTTCACAGACCTTGAAAGAACAATAATCAACTTATATGGAAAAACAAAAGACCCAGGATAGCCAAAACAACCCTGTACAATAAAGGAACTTACAGAGGCATCACCATCCCTGACTTCAAGCTCTATTATAGAGCTATAGTCCTGAAAACAGCTTGGTATTGGACAAAAATAGATAGGTAGACCAATGGAATCGAATTGAAAACCTTGATATTAACCCACACACCTACTAACACTTGATTTTTGACAGAGAAGCTAAAATTATACAATGGAAAAAAGAAAGCATCTTCAACAAATGGCGCTGGCATAACTGGATGCTAGCTTGTAGAAGACTGCAGATAGATCCTTGTCTATCGCCATGCACAAAACTTAAGTCCAAATGGAAAAAGACATCAACATAAATCCAGCCACACTGAACCTCTTAGAAGAGAAAGTGGGAGGTACCCTTGAAGGAATTGGTACAGGAGACAGCTTCCTGAACATAGCACCAGTAGCACAGACACTGAGATCGACAATAAATGGAACCTCCTGAAACCGAGAAGCTTCTGTAAGGCAAAGGACACAGTCAACAAGAGAAAAAAGACAGCTCACAGAATGGGAAAAGATATTCACTAACCCCACATCTGACAGAGGGCTGATCTCCAAAATATACAAAGAACTCAAGAAGCAAGTCTCCAAAACACCAAAGGATCCAATTAAAAAGTGGGCTACAGATCTAAATAGAGAATTCTCAATAGAGGAGTCTAAAATGACTGAGAGACACTTAAGAAAGTACTCACCATCCTTAGCCATTAGAGAAATGCAAATCAAAACAACTCTGAGATACCATCTCACTCCTGTCAGAATGGCTAAAATCAAAAACACCAATGACAGTTTATGCTGGAGAGGATGTGGAGAAAGGGGAATACTCCTCCATTACTGTTGGGAATGCCAACTCGTACAGCCACTTTGGAAATCAGTATGGAGATTACTCAGGAAAATGGGAATCAGTCTACCACACGACCCAGCAATTCCACTCTTAGGCATATACCCAAAAGATGCACATTCATACAATAAGGACATCTGTTCAACTATGTTCACAGCAGCATTATTTGTAATAGCCAGAACCTGGAAGCAACCTAGATGCCCCTCAACTCAAGAGTGGATAGAGAAAATGTGATACATTTACACAATGGTGTACTACTCAGCAGAAAAAAAAACAATGGAATCTTGAAGTTTGCAGGCTAATGGAAGGCACTAGAAGAAACCATCCTGAGTGAGGTAACCCAGTCTCAAAAAGAGAAACATGGTATGTACTCACTCATATATGGATTTTAGACATGAAGCAGGGGAGTGCCAGCCTACAATCCCATCGCCAGAGAGTCTGGGAATCAGGGAGTGCCCTTAGAGAGATATGCATGGTGCCCCAGAGAAGGGTAATGAGACAGGATGTCCTGAGTGAACTGGAAGCATAGGGGGAGGGTACAGGGAGCTGGGGTAAAGTGAGGGGGAGAAGGGAAGGGGAGAGGAGGACATGGGGGAGCAGGATGTTTGAGTTGGGGGAAGAACAGAGGACAGCAGGAAAAGAGATACCATAATAGAAGGAGTCATTATAGGTTTGAGGAGAGATCTGGCACTAATAAAATTCCCAGAGATCTACAAGGATGACACCAACTAGCAATCTAAGCAATAGTGGAGAGGTTACCTTAAATGCCCTTCCCCAATAATGAGATTGATGACTACCTTATATGCCATCCTAGAGCCTTCATCTAGTGGCTGATAGAAGCAGAGGCAGACACCCACAGTTAGCACAGAACTGAACTCCTGGAAACCAATTGCAGTGAGGGAGGAGTGATGAGCAAAGGGGTCATGACTAGGCGGGTGAAACCCATAGAAACACCTGACCTGAGCAAGGGGTTGCTCATGGACCCCAGAATGATGGCTGATAGGCCGACATGGGACTGATCCAGAACCCCTGAATGTGGGTGTCAGTAAGGAGGCCTCAGCAAGCTTTGGGGCCTGAAGTACTAGATCAGTATTTATCCCTGGCATCCGAATGGACTGTGGGCCCATTCCGCATGGAGGAATGCTCTCTCAGCCTGGACACATAGGGGAGGGCCTAGGCCCTGCCCTGGATGATATGACAGACTTT